GACATTTACATAAACCAGTCCTATCATCATTTTTTAAATCCATCTGTAAAATGGGGATAGGAGTACCTACCACTAAGGGTTGAAAGAGTTAAGTGAAATCCCTACATGCAGAGTTTAACACAGGAGTTGCTCATAAACAGTAGCTATTATTTTGTTAGCAAATTCTATATATGAAAGTAGACTGGGGTAGCATTCAATTTTACAAATATAAATCATGATAATAACAATACCAAAGGTATTCTGGTTTACAGTTTACAAAGTATGCACGTAGAATTTTTTTTAAGCAGTAATCTTTCTGAAGACATAACCGTATATTTAACAAACATTCAACATGTACACTTCTAAAGTTATTGAAGAAAGAAAATTATTGAAGAAGATTTCTTTTAAAATAGAAATGTTTCCAACTCATTAGAGTGTTTGCTTAATTTTGTTGTGAATTTTAATTCTATTCGTGATTATTGGATTGGGCTTTGAGGCTTAAAATAATGTGCCACTACATTCACTCAACTAAAATAGGCAGGGTAATTAGTATGAAGTGGTGCGTAAAATTTTTGAAAAAAAAAATTGAGGAATAAAGAAACTGAGTTTTTGTCAAGTAAGAATATCAGTGACATTGATTAATATTGTTTTACTATTCTTTTCTGATTTAGTCTGCATAAGAAACAAAACTTCCATGACTTAAATGTGGAAAGAAGATAGTAAAAATTAAACTTATTTAGCAAATAGCCTTTTTAGCTGATGAAAATTCTGTTGAGTTATTTAATTATAAGTGATGTGGCTCTCATGGGAAGGTAATCATTTTACAGTTAAACTAGTTAAAGGCAATCCACAAAGTGAGTCAGTCTCAGTGATACAGGTCTGTGTCTTACCTGTGCGTGTCTGTGTCTGCTGATCTTGCCAATAAGAGCTCTAAGAAACCTAACTTCAATGAACTAAGTGGTGGTATTTTGCAGGAGCCATCACAAAATGTTGTTCTGTGTGTTTATTAAATAACAAAACACAAGGATCATTTCCTAATTTGGTAAGTGTGAAACAGATGAGCCCAAAATGTTAAATATTCTTCCTAAGAATTATAGTTTGTGTTACCTAAACTTAAACATAAAATGTGAATAATTTTTGTGCATAATATAATTATTCCAGTTGAGAATTTAAAATATTATTTTGGTACATCCTTGAATTTTTTTCATGGAATTAAAGAGCACTACATCTTTATTGGACTTCTGCTCTCGCTTGGGAAGAAATAGTATAGAGTGAGAGAAGGCATTTTTAAAAGTTTTGCGAAACAAAGTGGAACATAATTAAATAATGAGAATTTACAAGTAACAAAAATTACAGAATGGGCTTTAAAATGTAAATATACAGGCAGAGAGTATAAAACAGTTAATAATTTCTAAAATATGAAACCATAAATCCTTGGAAGGACTTAGCACAAGCACCATGTTTGTTTTTTGTTTTATTTTTGCCTAGTCAATAACTTCCTAAAATTATTATTTTAATTATTGATTACCGATTCTCCTTTTATCATTTATCTTTTGGACATGGGAAAACATACAGGACTGAGAAAAATTATGAGCTCAATTTTGCATGAAAAATTTAGCAGGCTGGAATAAAAAGGACATGCCTAAGAATCAAGTAGAGAGAGCATATGTTAGCTGGGTAGTTTTTGTTTTGTTTTGTTTTGTTTTGTTTTGTTTTGTTTTTTTTATGACGGACTTTCACTCTTGTTGCCCAGGCTGGAGTGCAATGGTGCGATCTTGGCTCACTGCCACTTCCAACCTCCTAGGTTCAAGTGATTCTCCTGCCTCAGCCTCATGAGTAGCTGGGATTACAGGCATGTGCCACCACGCCAGGCTAATTTTTGTATTTTTAGTACAGATGGGGTTTTGCCATGTTGGGCCGGCTGGTCTCAAAATCCTGACCTCAGGTGATCCACCCACCTAGGCCTCCCAAAGTGCTGAGATTACAGGCATGAGCCGCCACGCCCAGCCTATTAGCTGGGTAGATTTAAGAGAAATTATGGAAGTTCCTTCCTGCAGATAACAAAGACATGTGGTAGAAGTCTGCCAACAATTTAGGGAGCTAAATCAAACTTCTTGGTTCTCACTCCTAGAATCTACCATCAGTCTCTGATTGACTTTGAATGGATTTAGATCTTCAAACACCTCAAAACAGGTGAAGAGCTTTAGAGCTTCACCAAATGACAGAACCCAGGTGTATGTACATGCAGCTAATTATATTTGTTATTTTTTCCAGTCTTATTGTCCATTGTCTTAGTGACTTTATGAACATAAAAGTATTGCATAAATAGTAAAGCTGGACACAGATCTCTGTACTGAAGAATTAATGCCCAAATCACTTAATTGTTACTTTAATGCATTTCTGTAATAAGTCCAGCAAAGCATGTTATTATGTGCCATTAGAATTACAAACAACTGTGAATACTAGAATCACAACAAACAAGTGAAAAAGTGAAAAGCATAGAAACTAATATTTCCAATTTTGCTATTATTATGGGTAATATATACTAATTCTCTGTGTGTAACAAAATAAAAATTATCTGAAATATTATTTCACTTTTAAACCCTTTTACAAATAATGCAATATGTCAATAAATAAACATAGAAGTGGAAAAATAAATAATGAAGAATGAAGGTCAAATAAAGTAGACCCTGAATTACAAATAACCAATAGTAAACAATCTATACATTCATTGCCCACCTTTTTCATGATCTGAAACTTTTCTGTAGCTGCCATGACAGTCATTGCAAAAAAACAAAAATAAAAACAAAACAAAACAAAACAAAACAAAAAAAACCTACTTTTTTTTTCCTTTTTTTGAGATGGAGTCTCGCTCTGTCACCCAGACTGGAGTGCAGTGGTGCAATCTCAGCTCACTGCAACCTGCAGTTCCTGGTTCAAGCGATTCTTCTGCTTCAGCCTCCTGAATAGCTGGGACTACAGGCACGTGCCACCATGCTGGGCTAATTTTATATTTTTAATAGAGATGGGGTTTCACCATGCTAGCCAGGCTGGTTTCAATCTCCTGACCTCAGGTTATCCACCCTCCTTGGCCTCCCAAAGTGCTGGGATTACAGGCATGAGCTACCAAACCCGGCCTTTTCTAATTTTTTATGATGGGTGTATTTAGTGTTCAGAAGTAGAGAAAGGGGCAAGCTGTGAAAATACATAGTGCTTAGGGGATTGAATCTCACCATAGTCTGCCTAGAATGTAACCTTGTTGATAAATAATACTTTCTCCAACTGTTTAAAAACATGACATCATAAACAGAAACAGTGCTTTTTCACTTCATTATATTTCCTGAAGATATACTTATTAAGGATTTTTTCAGGGGCTACTAAGTACTCTTTTCACAAAATGCAAATGCCTACCAGTGTTGGGGAGGGGAGCGGTCTTAAAAGTTTACATTTTAGTATGAACAGATTCAACTGTATTGTTCAAATAGCTAAAATTAATTGCACTGAGAGATTTGAATTTTTTCCCTTATACATTTTCAGGTGTAGAATAAAGGGATGGGCCACACAGGCCTGAGGAGGGGCAAAAGGAACTAAGGATGGAGTGCAGGAAGGAGGCTAGGAGGATACCACTAAAATTCATTTGGCCCATACGGGGAAAGGAGGAAATACTTCCTTTGATGATGCAGAATGATTCCTTAAGGACTGAGACACAATCTAGTAGTAGCAGTGCTTGTGTTCCTATGATATGGTTTCACTTAGGTGAGTTACCCTGGGAATCTGTTATTGATTCTTTTTACATATTTGATATTTTATACATAATATTTCTCATATAGAAAACTATGTCTTGGATAGCTTGCAATCATCTGACACTTAAATCTTTGGAGTACTATCCATTTGTGGATAGGACAAACGTAAAGATTAACATCTGAATGTTTAAAAAGTCAGCTGTCATATCCAAGAAAACACATTTCCTTGCAATTTAGTGATAACACTGAATAACCTTCATTTTGTAGCATTTGGAAGGACTTTGCTTATCAGATGACACTTTCCTCTATAGCACGTATTAGATATTTTTAGAAATGCTGGCAATATACTTGCAAAGTCCATCTATTAGATAAAGACCAACTTTAATAAGTGACAACTACAAATGAATAATTCTTTTAGAGTCCAAGACCTTTGATGCCATATTTTCAAAATTAATAATTTTTTAAATTTTAACAGCGCTGAGCAAGTACTTGGTAACAATTTGTGCTTATAAGCATTACATATTATTGAATCTTATAAAAATGCAAACTTGCTAAAATAGCCTGATGGTAGTTTTCATTAAGAATTTGACGAATTATCTTAATAGACAAGTTTTCATAATGTGCTAATATTTTGAATAATTGACAATGCTTTTAAAAGGATTTATAATTTTTTTTCTTTAAAATTGTGTACTTTATTATTTCCAATAGGTACCATTGAAACATATTTAGTACAGGTTTTTACTTTTCCTTCTGAAGGTAATTTTTTACTTTATATTTAATTTTTAAATACAAAGACATTTAAAAATGATATCATATACAACTTAGACTTTTATGTACTTTTATACTGAAACAGTTATCAAAAAACTTTTATAAAAATGGATATAAATAATATCAAGTCGTTATAAATTTAATTAATTTAAACCTGTGATTGAAAATATGGACACTTCCAGAAAAGTTTCATGTAAAAATCTATCATATGAAATGAATTATTAAACATAATGTCAAAGGTTTAATGTGCAAAAATATTTGTCTCAGGAAAATAATCCTGATTCAACATTATAGTCTGAAGTTCATATTTAACTCAAAATATAAGGAAGATTAAGTGATTCTCCGAACACCAGTGAGAAGTGTGTAGAAGACGGAGGTCACTCTTTGAAAGAAGATCTCTGTGACCTGTGTAAATTAGAGCCCCACAAACACTTCCAACAAGCATAGGTCAGAATAGGGTCATGGCTCCAGGCCCTCTGGACCACAGTTCGCCCATAGGAGTGTGCTCACCGCGTTAATCTCTCGTCCTTCAGTTCCAGGTCTGCCACTGTGATGAGCTGATCCAGCTTGAATTTAGTGTCAATAATTTCTGCATCCCGAGGAGAGTATGTGCCACCTTCTTTTTGCTTCTGTCGAATTCTAAAATAAGTGGAGTAAAGTCCAACAAGGGAGTTTCATAGAAAGTATATAAAATTAGGTTTAGTTTTCTTTTTAAGTAAAGACATTTAGTCAAATAATTTCTTTGTTAAAATCATCTCTCTGAATATGTTGCAAATTTATAGCGACTCGACTTCTTTTTCTTGTTTTAATTCCATAGAACCTATTCTACTTTCTTTTTTTTTTCTAATAAGTTATTGGGATGGAGTTCCAAATAATTAGTTGATGAAGCCCTGAGTCATTGGTACATTTAAATATAGAGCCAAGAAGACTTATGCTGTGATCTTGTTTCTCTTCTCTCTAACTACCTCATTGATTTGTCACATAAAGGAACTATGCCAAAGTGAAAATAGCTCAATGCTATCAATACTAGTGCTAACAGATAATGCCCCATTGTTTTCACATATATGAAATATTTTTACATGCATGAAAATACTTAAAAATTATTTTCAAGTCATCTTATTGAATTTTTATAAAAGTATGGTGAGTAGATATTATCTTTATAATCAGAAAATTTACGTTCAAAAATAAAAGTCACATGAATCTGAGAATCAAATCAGATTCTTTTCATCTTAAGCCCTTTACATGCTTATTTCTCCATGACACAGTATGGTATATTACAAAGTAATGTTTAGCTATTCTATCTTTCACATTTCAAATATTTAGTATTTATTAAGAGTTGGGTATCAAGGATGATATAGAAAGTAGAAAACATGTGTTCTACCCTCAAGGACATTACAATTTAGTTGAGAGGCCAGATTTAAATGCAGAAAAAACATAAAAAGAGAAAAAAGATTCAAATTACAACTCATAAGACAGTGCCTGATTAGTTACATAAATTACAGTTATTATTACTTAGAGGAGGTAAAGAAGCAGAATTTGACTTGGATGTTCCAGGATGAGAAGGAGGAGGAAGCACATTTCAGGTTGACTGAACAAAAGCAGAATGTATAAAAGCCCAAGGAATGTTCAAGTGAGAATAGATCCCTTTAGCTAGTGAGTAGGGAAGTTGTAGGGAATAAGGAGGACCATTTCCTGCTCACATAAGGAGTTCATCCTGTAGAGAAAGGAGAAGTCAGAGAAGAGTTTACAACAGGGAAATTATATAAATGTGGCCAGTCCATACTCCTTAGGGACAAGGCCCATATTTTACACAGTATAGCATTCAAAGTGCTTAGAATGATAACTCTCTCACTGCCTTCTGGCTAAATCTGCCAACAGTATGTGGTATAGAGAAAATATCTTTTTCAAGAGCCTTTCAAATTATCTATTAAAATTATGCTTTAAGAGCGTCTAGATGAACCATAATACATAGCATTTAGAATACAGAACTACACTCTTCAGCTGAAATAAAAATGGTCTGTTGAACTATTTAGGAAATTGGTAGAAAGTTTATTTTACAAATATAACATCACTTTAACTTGGCAATCTGCCTTATTAAGCTAGATTTTGAGGTCAGAAGTAAGATTTCCAATGAGGCCTTGTGAATAATAAGGGAATTAGAATGCTGATGCTGAGAATGGAAAGATACACTTGGAAAATTCAACACAGGCATGTTCACAAAGTAAGCCTGAGAAGAGGGTCTACCATATAAGGAAGCTGCACATTTTACAAGTGTTGTTCTAACTGTAAAAGAGATCTCTTTCTGTATAAACTTTAATATTTAGACCTGATTGAGACATTTTAAATTAAACCTACCAGAGTTATAAATTACTTTAAAAGATGTAGATGGCCTGAAAGCTTCTGCTTTTGTGTTTTCACCTTGTTGTCTCACATCTCCAAACCTCCTCTTGTTTGCTGTGCTCTTTGATATTGGAGCTGGAACCTACATTTCTCTTTTGCCAGCCGACCGAATGTGAGGTTTTGTCAATAGAGGGCACTAGAGTGACCCTGAGAGGCAGTAGCAAGAGGAAAACACTGCCCTTGTGGACCCAGTCCTGCATTATTGTTATTCATTGCGAGAGCCCAGCAGCTCACTTGGATGAGCTGTTGTTGCCTCTGAAGTGAATGTTCTGCCCATGCCATTGGTGAACGATTCACCTACACCATTCAGCAAGAATGGGATGCTTCTATTACCAATTCCAGCCTGCCTACCATCTAATAATGATGGGTAGCTTCTACGGAACAGCTCCAGCCCCTTCCCTCTGTCATATTTCTTTGCTCACTGGTAGGTGATAGGTTGCATGTGCTCGCAGTAGCGATTCCATGTAAGTCTTGGGAGACAACTTCTTTCAGTTCTAGTTGTTTACTGTCCTCTCTCCCTCAAGTTAAAGAGAGTAGATAGGTTGCATGTGCTCGCAGTAGCGATTCCATGTAAGTCGTGGGAGATAACTTCTTTCAGTTCTAGTTGTTTACTGTCCTCTCTCCCTCAAGTTAAAGAGAGTAGCTGCTTTGCTGTGCTTGCTACTTCTGGACTCTAAGATTTCTCTTTTACTCTCTTTAGTAGTTAGCCATTTCTGCTAGTTTACAGTTCTTTATATTAAATGTTTTCTGTTCAAATAGCAGGATTTCTTTCTTTTTATGGCTAGATTTAGTGAATCAACAATGCATACACACTTTAAAGTATCATATTGTACATGATAAATACATTTTTATCTGTCTATTAAAAATATTAAAAATAAAAATTTTCCCATTCAAGTAATTGTTGTGGCTTCTGTCTCCTGATTGGACTATGACTGATATAATGCCCATAAAGCATCCTGGAATATAAGCACAAATAAATCTTACCTTGCAAATGCAAAAATAGCTGTTCCAAGGAGAATTATTGAAAGGATACACAAAGTGACAGAAAGAATGATCTCTACGGTTCTTTCTGAAAGTCCTTCCCCTGGAGAAGAGGGATAACATGATCATTAAATATTATTATGGAATCCTATCTTGGATCCCAAACTACCAAAAATATTATCTTGGCATAAGAAAATATTCTTTGCTGAAGAATACTAGTAAAATGTAGCAAATTGTTTGTTCCTCTTCTCCTAGATTTTTTAACTTTGGGGCTCTGTCCTGGGTCCTCTTGTTTTTTCTATCTAAACTCACTCCCAGTGTGAGCCCATCTAGTCTCCCAGTTTTAATTTCATTTATGTGATGATGACTGCTTAGTTTTTATCTACCAGACTTCAGACTTACATATCTAACTGTCTACCAGACGTCTTTATTTTGAAGTATACTTAAAATGTTAAAATCGATATGTCCAAAATTGAACATGTACACTTCCCTCCTTTCCCTGTATCCTCCCACCTCTCAGTTGATGGACACTCCATTACCGTAGTTGCTAAGGCCAAAACCCTGGAGTCATCTTTGACTCTCTTTCATGGAATACATTCAAAACATGTGAGGAAATCCCGTAGGCTCTATCTTCAACATATTTGTACTTTTCACCAAAGAAACCATGTAACCTTGGAAAGATGGTAATTGCAAAGTGGGAGTAAGGAACAAAACCAATTCAAGACATATAATGGTGCTAGAGATCTAGGAAGCTAACAAAAGGCTACTGGTATAAAAGGAACAAAGGATCCTCCTGAAGGGGCTCCTACTGGCCAAAGAGGGAAGAACTTAAGCCTTATATTGAATAAAAATGGAAACTGATTGGAAATAAAAAACAATATTATTTAATAAAAGAAATGAAAATAACAAAAATACTGATTTTAAAAAAACTTTTATCTTAGATTCGGAGGCCACATGTGAATGTTTGTTATATAGATAAACTCACGTCACAGGGGTTTGTTGCACAGATTATTTCATCACCCAGTTATCAATCCTAGTACTCAATAGTTAAAAAAAATACTAATTTGTAAACTCTGGCTATAACTAGACCATCTCCTTGGCCTAAATATTCTTGATTAATTTGTAATTGAAATGTATATTTTTCTGCCTTTCTTATCTGAACTGTATTTTATGACTTTTTAAAAATAGCCCTCGTTAAGGAGATAAAGCTCATTATTAGAAGAGAATTTTGCTGAATAACTGATAAAGGAGAGATAAAATTAAAAAATAATCAGTATTTCTAATGAAATAGTTGATTCAGGTAACAAACATAAATGTATTCTAAAATGATTAGGAGGAAAGTTAATGGGGAATTGGACATTTATAGCATGACAAAATATCACTGTATAGATTATTTGCTGGTTGTAAGTGGTCAAAACCAACTTTTCGATGGAGTATCATGCTGTTGCTGCCACCAAGCCTACTGATCAATTTTAGCATCACGTGTAACAATCAGATATTCTACACTTCCTGATGGAAGGTATTTTGATCTAGTCAGCAAGACCTATAATGTACTTCTGACAGTAATGTTGACTGTGAATACTCAAACCTTTAGTTCTTATTTCTAATTTACAAGAAAGTGGCAGAAAGAAAAAAAATTAAAGGACATCAAGAGAAAACAACCAGACAGATCCAGAATATGGGACTTCCTATGTGACAACTTACCTGATTTCTTCAGTGAGTCTATGACATAGGGGGAAAAGAAAGGAGAAAAGAAGGCTCTTTAAAAAAAATAGAAGAAACAGAACAATCAAAGATAATGTGCAAATTCTTATTTGGATCCTGATTCAAATAAATTAACTATAAATAAAAAAATCAAAGGGTGATTTGAAAACGTATATACAAGTAGCTTAAATAATACTGATAACTTACTAAGTTTAACCACAGCAATATAATAAAAATGTACTTATTAGAGAAACATACTACAGTATTTAGGAGTGGAATATGCGTTCTGTGACTTACTTTACTTCAGAAATAAGTGAACAAATGCCTAAATAAAACAAATGTGGCAAAATGTTAATTACTATTAAATCTAGTTAGTAGGTATTTGGGGGTTCGTGACACTATTTTTTCTACTTTTATGTATGTTCCATTCACTTTGCTCCACCTTTGCTGCTAATAACCTGATCTAGGCCACCATCCTGTCTTGCAGAACTAAAAACTTAGCAAGTCTCCCTGTATCCACCTTTGTCCTTATTCCGCCTATTTGCAATATACAAGCAAGGACAATCCTTTTAAAATATTATTTCTCTGCTTAAAATCCTCCTCATCTCTCACCGAGAAAAGCCCATATCCTTTCAGTGGCCTGTGTGATCTGGTCCCTCATTAACTGTCTGGTCCCCTGTTACCCCTCTGATATCCCTTCCAGTCCCCACCTTGCTTGCTCACTCCTAGGGTGCCAGATTAGCCTCCTTAATGATGAATAACACAAAGCCATTCTTGACACAGGGCTTTTGCAGCAGTTTCTTCCTCTGCCTGCAAAGGTGTGTATCCCTTGTATATCTTTCTGGGTAGCCACTTCATTTCCTTTAAAGGTTTGCTGAAATACGTTCTCGATGACCATCTGTTATAGTGAATGCTATACATGCTGAATACATGTGCTTCCCCCAAATTAATATGTTGAAGCCCGAATCCCCAGTGTGGCTGCATTTAGAGTAAGAAAGTAATTAAAGTTAAATGAGGTCATAGGGTGGGGCCCTGATCTGATAGGATTAGTAACTTATAAGAAGAGACACAGTTTGTTCTCCATCTCTCTCTCTCTCTCTCTGTGTGTGTGTGTGTGTGTGTGTGTGTGTGAGACTCACTCCTTTCTCCTCCTCCTCCCCCTACCATATTCTCTCTATCTCCATTCATGCACTAAGGAAAGGCCATGTGAGGACACTGTAAGAAGGCAACCATCTGTAAGCCAGAAAGAGAGCCCTCACCTGATACCAAATGGGCAGGAACCTTGATCCTAGATTTCTAGCCTTCGGAACTGTGAGGAAATAAACTTCAATTGTTTAACACACCCCATGTATGACATCTTGTGATGGCAGATTGAGCAGACTAACACAGCACCCTATTTAAAATTGAAGGACACAACTCCCTGCACTTTCTGCCTCCCCCTGCACTCCTCCTTCCCTCTGTTCTACTTTTTTTCCTCCATAACTTTATCTTCTTTTAACATATAAATAACTTATTTATTTTTCTTACTGTTTATTCTCTGTCCTTCCCTCCAGAATGTAAGCCCCTTTGAGTACAGGGGTTTTTGTTTTATACAAAACTATTCCACGTTCTCAGAGATGTACTGTGCACATAGTAAATGTTAAATAAATATTTGCTAAATTTACTAATGAACAAATATTTTGATTTTGAAAAACATTAAAAATGTTCATGTTTGAAGATCAGGCATTGAACCAAATAAGAATATAAAAATTATTAATAATTTCTTTTAAGCACAACTACTAATTAAAATTTTAATCAATTTTAAGTTACATGATGATTTATAATTTTACTGCACAAAGTATTACAGTCAAGTGACAAAATAGGTTACCTATCTGTAAAATAGGCAAGTATTAATGCTTCATCTTTTTGTCCTGTATTGGTACTTATGAAATGTTACCAATATGAAAAGAGTTCTTGTGGCTATCCTGCGTGGTGGATTTGAATAAATAGTTATCAGCACTTCATTGTCTGCTAGAATCTCCAGCTAAATTTTAAAAATGAGAAAGCAGCATGTATCTATAAAGTATTTTAGATACACTTTTTTATACATTAAAATACGAATGGTTTGATTTATGAATTTTCACATGGTGACTCTAATTGGATATGCTTGGGAAAGGAGGCATGAAGATGAAGAAAGAATCCTCTTTATTAGGTAATAATGAATCACTGGGTCTTAGAACTCAGTGGGAAAAAAATGTTCTCATAGACCACACGAAAAATTTTTTTAGATTAGATTACCATTTCAAAGCACTGGCCAAATGAGGAAATGACATATAATATATTAATAAACAATATGTAATCCTTTGGGCACATGAATTACAAAAGTGTCACTAAGAGAGGACAAAATGTTCCCTGATTATCAAGTACACTTTCTGATTCACTGTTATGCATGGACCCACAGAGCATTAACAGTACAGAATGATGTCACTTCTCCGAATCCTTTAATAGAAAATGGAATTCTTTTACTTAAAAATATAAACATGATTCTTTTTGTAATAGGCGCAAGTCATTTCTGACTAGACTTAAAATCCTGTGACAAATCACATTAAACTGTTCTGTTTACATAATAAATTATACTACTATAATTTGGCAAATCATAATTCTAAAGCACTAATTTTTCATAAGTATTATCTTCTGACTGAAGTTATCATTATTTAAATTTAGCATATGTATCCAACTTTTTAAGTCCGTTTTTAAGCCTATTCTCTAAGGAGAAGCTTGAATTCCATGAGATGTAAAGCTCATAGTACAATGCCTGGCTCAATACAAAGGTGCACATAAAATGGAGAATCTTTTCCTCCTTCTCCTTTTCCTTCTCCTCCTCCTCCTCCTCCTCCTCCTCCTTCTTTATTATTATTATTATTAGAAAAAATGAGTTCTTATAACAGGACTGAAGTATAAGGAGTTCATCTTCTCTTTTGACCCAGTGCTAGTCACATAGGATATTCAAACACAAGGCAAATAATTTACTAAAAGTTACTCAATTCCATAATTCAAGAAATAGAGTTAGATAGGAGGAATAAATGATAAGTGCTTGAGGTGATGGATTTGTTAATTAACTTGATTCAATAATTGCACATGGTATACATATATCATGCCATCACTCTGTTTCCCATAAATATATATTTGCACATGGTATACATATATCATGGCATCACTCTGTTCCCCATAAATATATACATGTGTAATCTGTCAATATTCAATAAAATTTTAAACATATAGATTCAAACACCCTATAGGAATGAACATCATTTTCATCCATACAGACAGGAAAAAATTTAAAAGTAGCTAATAAAGTGTTTGCTAGGGTGTGAGAAAAGTCACATTATTCAGTGTTAAAAAAAATAAAAATAAAACATA